GCGGGGCAGAAAGCCGTCAGCTGTCACGGCACGCTTGGAACGCTGGCGACGCGTGAAATCAGCCGCTCACGCCCGTTCCTGGGTGGGTGTCCCTCGGGAGGCCACCTGTGTCCCTCGGGAGGTCACCTGTGTCCCTCGGGAGGTCACCTGTGTCCCAGCCTTGGCGGTGGGTGACACGTAAGCGGCTCCCGATGCCGGTTCAGGGTATCGGGAGCCAGGAATCCCAAGAGCGGCGTTTGCCTGGCCCTGGACGTGCGTGGGGTAGTGGGAGATGGGGAGGCAGAGTTGCTGGTTGCCCCTTGCACGCTGGTGCCCGTGGATCAGGGGAGCTCTGGTGCTTTGCAAGCCCCTTGGAATGGATCCACGTTGTACCTTGCCTCTCGTGTAAAGGTTGACGATGAGACATGGTGATCTGTGGAAAGGACTTGGAGCTTCTCAGTACTGAAGTTTGGAAGCAGCTGTTCCGCAGCTTGATGGGTTTGAAGAGATGTGAAGTGGCTGCCAGATCACTTAGTCGGTTGTGTGCATATCACCACATCATCTGCTCTCTCTCACCTGCTTCTGTCTCCCTTGTTGTCTTTCCTGGTCATCTGTGTTCTTCTCTGAGCTCATGTGTGAGCTTTTTTACTTTTCTGGCCTTTTTTTTTTTTGTGGTCATGTTTTAATGATGGGTTATACTGTGCTCTTCCATATGGAAGGAGGGCCAGGGAAGTCCTATAATTTTTTTAGCACTACTGGAGCAAATGGAAACTTGGCATACCAGTCATTCAAGTATGAAATACAATTATGGTATGTAAGGGTTTGAAAATTTCTGCCATTCCAGTTAAGGATCTGTAGATTCTAAGATTTGCCCCTTTTTCTTTGTTACTAAATGTTACTTTCCTGTTGGTCTGTCACGGGTAACGTGCCTGCATAAGGCAGTCCGGAAGCACTTGTTCTTGTCAAGCAGTTGGCTTTTTGCAGGGGGTGAAAACCCCTCAAGAGGCTCAGTTCAGGAGTGCTTTAAGAAAATTTTAACTTAAGGTTATTAGCTGGCAAATAGTATTTGCTTGTTACTTTGGTGTTTATTACACTTAGTTTCGGTTTGGGAAAAGTGGAAGTGGTTCTCAGAGTGCTAAAGTTACTATGACTGAGAAGCTCTTCTGTGGTGAGATAGTCCAGTCTTAAAATCCTGCTCTGCTAAAAGCCATTCAGTCCTTTTGTGTGAGTCTTGAAAAGTCCTTTGTGTCTCTGTGTGTATGCTGTGTCTGGCATAGATGGGCTAGCTACAGTTGGTTCAGTTCTTCTGATTTCTTTATGGAAGAGGATAATTAATTTTGACTGAGCAGATAGTAGGACTTCCTTCCAAAGCTACCAGAGTGGCCAGCCAGAATGTTAAATGGGCACTTTGGAACCATATTAATAATGAGACATGTTTTTTATGAGTTGTTTTATATTTGTGAAAGCCAAGTTGGAAGAGAGATGGTATCTTAAAATATTCAGAAATGTCTAAGATTTCTTCTTAGGGAATGCCTCTGCAGAAATCCCAGAATATTTCAGTTGCCATGTAATTATGAATGACAAGGTTAGCAGGTTCAGGGAATCCCAGGAAAGCTAATTTTTCCCTGAAGCAAAGTAACTCCCTGTTTTTGTCAGCTAGCTTACTGCCTACTTCATGGCTTTTTGTTATTTACTTTGCTGTCAACACCTTCAAGAAAAAGAGGGTTTCAGTTTCAAGTAAATAAAAGTGAACCTTTTTAAATCAAATTTGATATTGTGTGGGTTACATATCTTGATTAAGCTTCAAAAAGTATTTATGTGCAAATAAAATGTAGAAGCCTTTGAGTCTGTGTGTTGCAAATTCCCAATGTCCTTTACTAAACTTCGAAGCACTCCATGCTTGGAAAGAAGAATGTGTGACTATATTGCCCAAAGAGATTGTACACTGGCAATTATTTAATGAGAGCTATATTAATTCGTGTCTACAGTGGATTATTTTTTTTTAACAGCTTTTTAATGCAGGGGGAATGTTACATTATTAGCATCCATGCTTATGATTTTTCAAGGTTATTTTGCTATTTTTGCAATAGTTGTGCTCAGTGCTTCTTTTCTGAACGGAGCTGCTCTTGAGTGATCTGATTTATTGTCTATGGATCATTCCATTCACATGAGCTAACACCCAATGTTATGCAACAGCTCTGTAACACTCCTCCATTTCTCTTGTCAAGAAGAAACTTCCTCATGGAATTGAATGGTAGCAACTGTAATTTTTCTGTCTTGGGAGGGGAAAAAGTTGCAGTCAGAGAGGGGCTGTTTCTTAGCCTGGTTTTCTAAAGGGGTAAAACAGGTTAGACCTATTAATGTCCATTGACTCTTCCCCCTCAATAGTGTTTGAATCCATTTATTTTTATTAATTACATTTGACAGTATGCTGCCTCTTGCACACAGTGGGCAGACTGAGCAAAGATGGTTGGGGCTGAGCTGGTACCAAGATTCAGAGGCAGTATTTGTTATCTCTCCCTAACAAAATTAGCTTGTATGAGTTCTGTCATCTTTATTTTATTTGCATATAAGTTTGTGCAACTTCCCTTTTAGATTGGTTTACAGATGTGGTTGGGAAGCACTTACATTGTTTCAGATACACTGACTTGCTTCCCATTAGCAGCCTGGTGTGTGAATAATGGCCATAATAACCCTAATCATATTTTGCAAATTAAGTGTTGCTTTCCTAGCAATAGATCTTTATAGATCTTTTCTTTGAGGTCTAGCTTCTTTTCTAAACAGATCATTGCTATAATACTTTTTTTTTCCCTTCTCCCTCATATGATTCATGAACAGAAAATTCACATTCAAGGAAGACATGTCTTAGGTTTCCCTGGTTAATGAACTACTTTCATACTATTTCATGTGTATAAACATGTGAAGGCTGTCTATGTTGATAAACATCAGTAAATACTTAGGAGCCTGAAAGATTTGTAGTAAAATTAACTGTGAGCTGAAGCTGAATCCCATTCAGCTGGGTAAGGCAAGCCTGTAAGGTCTCATTCTGAACCATTATTTACTTGTTATTCCTTATTTATACTGAACAATTACATGGGTTGACTTTGAGAAGAATTGAGACTCAACATTAATCTGGCTTTGCTTCTGTGTATTAATTTTAAATAACTTTTGTGACCTTTGATTTTAATATGTTATTAGTTCGGCTGGTGTGCCATTCTATCTCATTGATACTCAAAAGAGTCAAACACAAACATACTTGGTATCTCACTGTCATTTCCCTCTCATCCTGAGGTCCTATAGAATAATTTAATAATTTATTTCCTTACAGGGAGTGAGCTGCTTATAAAGTCTTAACTGATGATACTTGGGAAAGCTTTTCAATTCTGCAGTTCCTCACATTCCTTCATAGCCATCACTTCTCCCTCTCCTTTTATCCTTCCCTTGCCAAACGTGTTGGTCTGTGAGCACCTCCAATGCTTTGGGAACTACTAGTGCAGAAGGGGCTCAGACTAGTCTAAGAAGCAACACCTGTGGCAGTGGTCTCTGACAGGGTTTGGGAGCAAGGACATAAGTTCTTAAACTGCCTCTCTTACTTTATTGTGCTATGACCTTGACTACATCTTAAATTACCTTCTTGGCTGACTACCTAAGTAGGATATTGACTTAATGTTTGTGTAGGACTTTGAACATGAATGTAGTTACAAACACTGAATCATTGTAGGAAGCCATGAGTGTTTACCTGATGTCAGTGCCAGCCCAGATACCATAACCTGTGCAGTGCCTTGTACTCACTGACTTGCAAAGGGTTTGCTGTAACTGTGATTGTCCCCACCAAGTCACAGAACCCTTCTACTGCTTCTTCTGCATCTCTATTTGTAAAGAGACAGAATTGATCCTGCTTTCTCAGCATACCAAATAAATAGCAGAATTAAAAAATTGTGAAGGAGGAGCTTGATCAATATCCTTTCTGTTCTGTTTGTGTAGATCTTACTCATTTTAAATATTATTCTTATGTCTTAGGAGAGAAAGTGTTTATAGGAGACATATGGGAATATGTAGCAACAGCTTAAGTTTAAATTGCTGGAGCAAGTAGGAGTAACTGAGCATTATGCTGGGAGCTTGCATGCGGACATCAGGCCTGCAAAGATACAAGGATATTCTCAACTTCAGTAGATGTATTCACAGCCTACCCACAGTGTATAAAATGTTTTAGCAGTGTGGAAGAGTGACTAATTAGGTTTGCTATGAGTGAAACATTTTCTCCAATTTCAAGATTGTATTTCTTTATGAGAGGAACCTGTGCTTTTGTCCTTACTACTGTTTGTAAATATGTCTTCCAAAAAATTTCCATAGCGTAGACATAATCATTTTAATAGGAAATATATAGTTATTCAGTAGCTTGCACTAAATATATTTTTTTCTCTTAATTTCTTGTTAGTTGCCAGAGCTAATTTAGAGGGAGAGATGTATACTGTAAGGATATAATTTGGTCATGGAATATCCTTCTTTTAATGCTGACCAAATGTCCTGTGCCTCTCTTTACAGCTTCCAGCTACAGTTTTATTCTGAGCATTAGTGAAGAGGAAGCCAGGGTGAAGGCTTTGAACGAGTACCTGAGCACTCGTAGTTATATCCAGGGGTTCACATTTTCACATGCAGATGTGGAGGTATTCAGAAAGTTTTCGGGGCCACCTGTGGACCAGTATATCCATGTTGTCCGGTGGTACAGACACATAGAAGCAATCTATGATGGCAGCAGTGAAAAAAATGACCCTTGTAAACTTCAAACAAGTGAGTAATACAAAACTGGTGGGCAGGTTGTAGTCTAGCTAACGTGTTGATTGTTATTGCTGAGAATTCCTAGAAGTTCTCTTTCATACTCTCTTGTGTGCTTTAAAATTTACTGTATCGACTTGTATTTGAGTTCATGACATTCTTCTTGCATATGGTTACTGCGTAATTGATAGATCCTGACCTATTTGAGTGTTAAAGCTCTGTGTCCACATTTCTTTCATTTTAAAATTTCTCAGCATACAGAATTTGATCATGTGTATTTTCTTTAAAAAGCTAACTGTTGACTGGATTGTAAAAGAATATTTGTTATTGTTATTAACACTAAATTTTGAAAGGAACATTTAGGGTTCTTTTTTAACCCTGGTAATTTAGGCACTACTGGTCATTTGAGGCAATACTAACTGGTTTATCTAGGTCATTGTGTAAGCATGAGTGCTGGCATTTTTGGGAACTGCATCACTCTCCTGAGTCGTTTTCCAGTGAGCTAGTCTAGTTTAATTGCTTTATAGCAAGATCCTTCCTCAAGGAGTCATGAAATAATTAATAATAATAACATAGAGCTGCTGTATAGTGCTTGCAGTACCTACAAATGAACATGTAATGTCTGTCATTTTTGCTGGTGGCTGTTGACTAAGATTACTCCAATGCCATCTTCTCACAACATATTAGTCCAATGCAATCTTCTCACAACCTCTCATCATGTGTGTTCTCATTTCCTAGCAGACAAGCAGTTAAGAACAGGCTGCTGTGAGCAGATTCTGTATATGTGTGTGGGCCTGCATGTATTTGTGCTTGTTATTGATTTCTTTTCAGCAGTAAAGGGATCTCAGCTGGCTCTGACAGCAGATTTAAGGCCACTAACTACAATTTGCCTGCAGACTTTCATGGATCAGGGTGGGGCAATAAAAGGTCTCTTTTTTTTTTTTTTTCCTGTCCATGAAATCTTTAATATTAAGTCTCTCTGAAGGATAATGTTCTCTTATCTCCATGATCTGTGCATATGTATCAGAGGTCCTGTAATGGTGTTCTGCAGTGTTCACTATGAAAAAGGCATTTCAATCTGCCACGCTTAGACATGGGATTTTTTTTATTAGTGGATTTTTGTGTGTATCAGAGAGCTCCAGGAGTGGATTAGAGCAAATTACCTTCACTTCAACCAGGAAGAAGACTGTAGCTGGCAAAGATGTAATTGAACAGAGTAAAAAGTATGCCTTTCACTTTGTCCTTGGTATCCTTGTCGTGGATGTAGTGTGACATCTAACTCATAAGCCGAGAACTTTAGGGTGCAGTATCTGGGTTTTTTCTTATGTTTAGTGTGGTAAAGAAAGCTTTACAGATCTACCTTTTATTAGACTAACCCACGTAGGCTTTTTTCCCCAAGGGAAGGAATCACTTAGGTTGGAAAAGACTGTCAAGATCTCTACCAAGTTCAGCACTAAGCCATATCCCCAAGTGCCACATCTAGACAACTTTAAAACACATCCAGGGATGGTGATTCAACCACCTCCCTGGGCAGCATGTTCCAATATCTGACAACCCTTCCAGTGAAGAAGTTCTTCGTAATGTCCAGTCTAAACCTCCCTTGGAACAGCTTGAAGCTATTCCTTCTTATTCTATCACCAGTTATTTGTGAGAAGAGACCAGCACCTACCTCCTTGTAACGTCCTTTCAGGTAGTTGTAGAGGGTGATAAGGTCTCCCCTCAGCTTCCTTTTCTTCAGACTAAACAGCTCCAGTTCCCTCAGCTGCTCCTCATAAGACTTATTCTCAAAGCCCTTCACCAGCTTCATTGCCCTTCTCTGGACATGCTTCAGCACCTCAATGTCTTTCTTGTATTGAGGTGCCCAAAACAGGACACAGTATTTGAGGCGTGGCCTCACCAATGCCAAGTACAAAGGAATGATCACCTCCATAGTCCTGCTGGCCACAGTATTTCTAATACAAGCTAAGATGTCATTGGCCTTCTTGGCCACCTGGGCACACTGCTGGCTCGTATTCAGCTGCTTGTGCATCAGAACCCCCAGGTCCCTTTTTGCTGAACAGCTTTCCAGTCACTCTTCCCCAAGCCTATAGTGTTGCATGGGGTTGTTGTGGCCCAAGGGCAGGACCCAACACTTGGCTTTACTGAACTTCATACAACTGTCCACAGCCCATTGACCTAGTCTGTCCAAGTCTCTTCAGAGCCTTCCTACCCTCAGGCAGATCAACACTCCCAAGTTTGTGTTGTCTGCAAACTTACTGAGGGTACATTCTATCTCATCAAGATCATTGATACAGCTGTTGAAAAGAAGTGATCCCAATACTGAGCTCTGAGGAGCAGCACTCATAACCAGCCTTCACCAGCTGGATTTAACTCCATTCACCACCAATCTGTGGGCCCAGGCATCTAGCCAGTGTACGTTGTATATGGTCTGTGTTATGGGTAGGCTGCTCTTGAACTAGAGATATTCTTTTCAAGAGTGCCTCATGCAATGAAGTGTTTAGAATAAACATATTTCTGTGGATCCATGACATGGATATTAAAGGGAGTCCGTTTGTGAGACAGAGTACTATGGTCAATATCTATTTAGGCTGTTAATCATAAAAGAAGGATGAGGAAGAGATTCATTTTTTTATACTGTGAATGTTTACATTATTTGAAAGTTTTCAGTCTAAATGCTCATACAGAGATACTGGAGGAAAACAGTGAAGAGCATCCTGAGACACAGCATCAGAAAGGCAATTTTGTTGTCAAAACAAATAGTTTGTATAATATTTGACATGCAATTAAAACGCATACCATGAGAATTCCTAAGCACAGTGCTGTGTGTATTAAGGTGGCAAACTTGCTGTATTTTTAAATTTCCTGGTTTGCTTTCATTCCTCGTTAATGTCATAATGAGTTTGAGATCATTACAGCTGTAAGCAGCCCAGTGCATAGCACACTACAACTCTTTGACATATGACACACTTAACACTTTTGTTTAACAACTATGTTGCTTCTCAAAAAACTAACACTTTTGTTTGAAAAACATTCATTTAACAACTATGTTGCTTCTCAAAAAACTAAAAGAAAACAAGTGCAAGAAGATTGTTACTAATACTAACCTGGCTTTTATCTGCTCTCTTTAAT